GTCATCTTGAATGTTGAATTCTCAATACAACTGAAATATTTGAGAGAACATCACATAAGCTAACTTCATAAATTGATGCTGATTTTCCTAAAATGTGTTTTTTTTTAAACTCACCATTATAGTGATTAGCGTTCTCTTTGGTTGGACACTTGGAACTTGGTTTATGTTACTATAATTATCTTCCTGTTAATGCAGTAATACATTATGAAGTCAGAGTTATTTGATTGCAACGGAAGAAAAGTAATAAATAGGTTTACTATTCCTATTTCACTTTACTTAGTTTTTTCAAGGCAATCGGTTTGCATGCTTTTTTTAAGTAAGCCCAACTAATTAGATTTTACAGTGTGTTTATCATTCATTTGTTATTGTGTGCGTTCAAATCAATAAAGCACAGCACTGCTAAAGTCCACTCAAGTAAAACCTGAGCACTCATAAGCCCAGAGCTTCACGGCTCCAGCGCTACAGCACAAATCACTCACGTCCCCTGAGCAGGCAGCAGCTTAATTGCCTGTCAGACAATCATGGTATCAGGGAATTAGAGCTGGAGCCGGTTACAGTTACACAATCCTGTAAAGTGAAAGATTATTGCCAGTGTGCTAAAGGATATTAACTGCGCTGGAGATTAAATTTAAACTTGTTGCACACAAATATCTATTGAATTTGGACCAGTCAAGAGTTTGGACACATCCACCCAATCTTATTTTATTACTATTTTCAGCATTTTAGGATAATAGTAAAGCCATCAAAACAAATTGAAGTATAGGGATCATAAAGAGACTTATTTTGGGGTTTCTTATTTGTCTAGATTACAGCTCTGCTCATTTGGGATATTCATTTAACAACTTAATGAAGTGTATCCTGGAAAACAGTATTCAATGAGTTCCCATTTGTTGGCTTTTTTCCATCAATAGCTGGTCCAAATCATTCATTTAAAATAAATAAATAAATGAAATAAAATAAAATTACATACAAAATTAACAAATAGCCATTTAAATAAATAAATAAAAATTAAATAAAAAAATTAATTAAATTAATT